AAAATAAATAAATGGGGAAAAAAAAAAAAAAAAGAATACAGTGCCCAGCTAGCTTTGCTACTGTTCTGTTCAGAGATCACAGAGGACTCAAATGTCACATCCTCTGTTAAAGTTTTCCTATTTCCTAGAAGAAGAATTACTGTCACCCTGTCTTTGTTCCCCTTGTGCACAATAATGTTGGCATAGCGTATATTGCATTCTGCCTTTTAAGGCAGATAGTTGTGAATATGTCTTGTCTATATGACTCAAATCAGGAACTGAATACGTATTTGTGTGAACTTTATAATAAAGACTGTTATACAGAGAAACATGTATTTCTGATATGTATTTTCTCAACTTTTTAATTCTTATTTTATAATGTACTTTCATACAATTTTGGCAATGTTTTTAAGTGGAGAATGATCCTATTTGCTTCAATAAAGGAATCCTTTAAAACAGATGATTTTTCCTTCCATTGATAAAGTTAAATGTGTGGTGCTACTTGAAAGAATTCAGAAGAAATAAAAACCTAAGTTACTTACGCTGAGATTTTAAATAAAAGAAGAAAAATCATTATTAAATGTATCCTGTACAGTAACTGCCCTCTTGCAAGTAAGTTTGACGCTGTCCAAGGTCACTAATGACTACTAAAATACATGATAATAGACTTCTTTTTTCAAATTAGCCAAATTCGACTTATTAAAACAATTTAACTGACAAAGTGATACTCTTTGTTTACATTGAAAATAAACCATTCTTATTAAGCCTTTGATACTACCCGCTTTTCTCCTTGATCTTGAGGACTTTCAAATAGTACATTTAATTCTCACAGTTGGACATCTAAGGATTTCATGATGTTCTAAATGTAATCCCTCCCTGACAAGGGAGATCTAAGTAGTTCTATCTCAGGATATCAAGACCATAGTTTCAAGGAAGTCTTGCTGATGGCCCCTCTCTCCTGCATAGGTTTCCTATGACTGAACTTCTAACTAACACATTCTCTGTCTTGTGCCCTATGTCAAACTCCACATAGTGATGTAATTGTCCAATCCCATAGTTCCTCTAGGAATGAGCCACTGCTGTCTCTGTTGTTTTTCTAAAGATGATTGCTACCCATAAAACTGAATCCAGAGATTTGGTGCCTTCTGTTCACTGATGAATATCTTTGATAAATGCTGACTCTCACCAGCTGGGGCCATTGCCCAGCTTTTATGCTACACTATACTGGGTCGTGCAATCAGCAAGTGTAGCATAAAAGCTGGGTAATGGGCCAGCTAGAAACTGCCAATAACTTTCACGTACTGCTTGTTTGACTGCATGGTTGGGTCACCCACCCAATTCTTGCTACCTTTACTCTTTTGCCTTGCTAAATCTATACCGGCATCAAATCTGGATTCTATCTACCACAGACTAGACTTTGTGTTTCATCTCTAACTCTGAAAATGATTCACACCTCATTGAGTCTGAGGTATGAAATATTCTAAAAACGGATTTTTCTATTAGCTTACCAAATACAACAAGCATATTTATAATCATAAAATGTAGGAAACTAATACTTTCATTTACTAATACAGCTTCTCTACTAATATTCATAGGATAAATAATGTCTCATTTTCTAAATACACAAATTTAGTAATTTTGAGGTTTTTTTTTTCTGTCTCATCCAACATTTATTCAAATTTATTCAACTTTATTGAAAGTTTCTAAAAACAGATAATAGGGAAAGGACAGTCTCTTCAATAAATAGTGTTAGGAAAACTGTGTATCTATATGCAGAAGAATGAAATTAGAGCCTTATCTCACACTGTAGATGAAAATCAACTTAAAGTAGTTTAAAGACTTAATTGTAGGACCTAAGCCCATAAAATGACTAAAAGAAAACATAGGAGGAACCTATATGACATTTGTTTGGGCAAGATTTTTAAAAATATGACCCTAAAAGCACAGGGAACAAAAGTAAAAATAAACAAATGGAAATATATCAAACAAAAAAGCGTCTACGTAGCAATGGAAGCAACAAGGTGAAGAGACAACGTAGGAAGTGGGAGAAACATTTGGAAAGTATCCATCTGATAAAAGGTAATATCTAAAGTATATATCAAACTCAAGAAACTCAATAGTAAGAAAACAAATAACTCGTCTAAATAATGAACAAAAGGCCTGAATAAACATTTCTCAAAAGAAAACATAAATGACCAATAGGCTTATAAAAATCCTCAACATCACTAATCATCAGGGAAATTCAAGTCAAAACCATAATGAGCTATCACATCACACCTGTTAGAATGGCTATCTGCCCTTCTTTGTTCATTGGAGCATTATTTACAATAGCTGAGATATAGAATCAGCCTAAGTGTCTAACAGTGGATAAATGGATAAAGAAAATACATATACACAATGAAATATCATTCAGGCATTAAAAAGGAGAAAATCTTGTAATTTGTGACAACACGAATGAACTAGAGGACATTATGCTAAGTGAAATAAGCAAGGCACAGAAAGATAAATACATAACCTCACTTTTTTGTGGAGTCTATAAAACTTGAACTCAAAGAAGCAGAGAGTAAAATGGTAGTTCCCAGAGACCGAGAGCGAGGAGGTTGGAGAGATTTTGGTTAAAGTACGCAACAAACATTTCATTTTGATTGGAGGAATAATTGGAAGAAATCTATGATTCTGATGACTATAGTTAGTAACAATGCATCATATTCTTGAAAATTACTGAAAGAGTAGATTTCAAGTGTTTTCACCAAAAAATGGTAAGTATGTGGGGTAATTAATGCCTATGTCATTTTGCTGTACCTAACATTTCATTATTTACAGATATTTCAGAAAATCATGTTGTACATGAAAACTATATGTGATTTTTGTCAATTAAAAAATAAAATAAAAATAATTCTGAGAGAGAACCAGAAATAACAACAAAAGAGGCAATAGTGTTTTCTTCAAAAGCACAGTTCAATTAATATGTGTACATAAATAAATATTATATATTAGTTAATATTAGGATATAATTTTATCTATAGGTACACATACTAATAAATACATATCCACACACATAGCCTTTCTGATTCTATCCTGATGTGTGACATTGCTTAAGCTTTTGTTATATTTCCATATTCTTGTATTCTGTTTGGGGTTATGTCACTTAAGAAGCCATGAGTGACCTTTGAATATTATTTTGAGTAGCAGTGAGTAACAATTTGTTTTTCTATTGAGAATAAGTGAAATAGTTGAATTTGAGTTGGTTATTTCATTTGGAGTTATAAATAACTTTTTAATTCACATTTTTCTTTAGCCTGAAACTAGGAAATGGTATCTTTTTAGGGTTTGAAAATAGGAACCAATCACTCAGATAGACTTTTCAAGTAACTTTTCTCTTTTTAAGCCTATGATTTCAAAATTAAAATAAAACTACTATTTATATTAATTAAAGAGAATAATAAATCCTAAAAAGTAAAGGAAAAATGAAAAAAATCTGGATAGAACTCAATTGTGGGCACTTAGTCTCTTTTTAACAGTCTCAAAATAAAATATTTGGGTCACAGTCAAGCAGTGCTTCATAGTAACTTATTAAAAACAGAGTTCATTGGTTCAGATATACTTTGAAGATTTTTTAAAAAGTGAGCTTATTCTACTGCTTTCAATTATTTTGCTTTACAATGGCCATGATATCTTAGGATGAAAAAAATACCCTGCTATTTTGAAGAAGTATCCAAATTTTATCTTTGGAAGATAAACACTTTAACAGAAGATCCAAAAATGTCAATAACATCTTACCACTCTTGGCCTCCTTTATTATTCTTAGTTGTGTCCTCTAATTTTTGTTTATGTGTTTGCTAAAATTATTTACACACAAAATAAATTTAGTTATACATAGGATGAGATAGTCACAAATAAAAGATCAGGTGAGAGTACTGCATCAAGATATTTTAAAAGGTAATTATCTTCAGAATTGTGCACCTAATCTAATGCAGGTTATTTACCTTTATCTTTATTTAGTAGCAATCACAGGATGAATTGGAAATTGATCAAAACTTAGAAGTGCTACCAGTAACACTGCTGTGTTTCCCCAAATAAGGCAAAAAATAAATAATAGATATAATAATGAAAGCTTCCTGAAGCCAATCCAATACCACATTCTGTATAAAATGATTTGTTTTTGCTAATACCTATATTTGCAGATGTCTTCACATTTTATATGAGCAAATACTAGCTTGAGATCATAGAAAGATCTTGTGCCACTTCTCCATTTTCTATTTACACCACAATTTTCAAACCCAAGTTTGTCAGGGTTTGGCAGGGTAAATAGTCCAGAAATAGAGTTATGTGTATATCTTAGTTTCACTGTTACAAACTGCAGCATATGCTAGAATAAGGGAGACTGTTCTAAGTGGTTCTAGCTAGGATGGTCAAGATTTAACGAGAGGCAAGGAGATTAAGTTCACTAACTCTCTGGGATATTTTAGCTCTTGTCCCATCTGAAGCTTCTGATATGTGTATGTGTGTATGAAGAATGGTTAAAGCTTGGTTCAAGATTTTTCTAAATGGCTGTTTTATTTAGACTCTACTGTACCTTAAAATTTCAGTGATTAGTAATATATTATATTGAGAATACTTTATCAGTACCACATAGTGAAATACAAATTGCAATGTTATTTATAAATATGCTTACCTTCACATCTCTGACATTCATCCTTGTTCCCTCTTTCCCAACAAATATATCATCAATGTCCACAAGGATGTACCTGTCCAAGGACAATGTCAGCCTCTTCCCTGACAAGAAGGAGATGGCATCTATGAAGATGAGCTTGTGTAGCCAAAAGTTTAAGTTGTTGCCAAAAAGTACTCGCTGAATTCCATCATGAAGACCCAGATCCTGAATCACCGTTGCAAAGAGTGTTTTGCTAGTCAAAGATGAAAGGGATTTTTCTGTCTGTAATTCAGTTAAAAGTACAGGCTGGTAGGTTGAATGATTATATTGAAAAATAGTCCAGTCTTCCCCAGGAAGAGGGCCTTTCTCAACCTTGGGGGCTTTGGTAATATGCAGCAAAGGAGATTGAGGGTTAACAAAACAGTCCTTTAGAGCTAGATTATTGAAAAGATTTAACGGAAAGCCTTTTAATTGTGTACTTGGTAAGCTGTTCTCATTGGCTTTATGAAAACCGATTATACTAACACTGTATTCCACACAGTATTTTTCTAAAAGCTCTCGATTCCATGAGTCCATGCTGACATACTTCAGAATATTTTCATAAATAACTAAAGTATATTTCCCTTTGCCATTATCTGTAAGAGGAGGTATATCTCCCTTTCCAGGGGCAATAACCATGTGGTACTGAAATCGGCTGGACTCCAAAATAGCTATGATATCTTGACCGAGTTGAGAGTATTGGCTCTCCACAAAGAGAAGAACAGTTGGGTCTGATTTGGATGTATCAATAGGTTTAACTGTTTTCACCTCCATTGACCGATAGGGTAGAATTTTGATGTCAGCACATTCTGCTTCTGCAGTGGTTTCAATAAGTGTCATTTCCTGTTTGTAGCCAGAGTAGAGAAAATAGGCAGAAATGACAATGCTCACCAAGCAAAAGGTAGCTAAGAGAACAATCAATGTTCGAAAACTTCTCCGAAGTTTCACAATAAGATTCATTTTCTAAAATAATATTTTGGTAGCTTGTTCCCAATTTCGTTTCCTAAAGTGCCATAGTGAACAAAGTATGAGATGTTGCAAATATCACTTCCCCAAAGTTCATGTAACCATTGCAAATCATGTAAAATGTTTGAAGGGAGCACAACTGAGTTAAAGCTGGAAGGCAATGGATGGGGAAGACATAAGTTGAGGAGATTTTGAATATGTCCAATACCAAGAATTGCTGCAGAATCCTCTAAGCAAAATCTGAAAGAGAGGAGAAATGTAATAACTAAGACAAAAATAGAAATAGAAATATTTATTTGTATATTAATGCTGATACCCAAGAAACATATATATCAATGATAATTTTAGTGTATTAATATGCCAAAATATTAATGGTCTGATGTTTACAGTCTAGACTTAACCACCTATAGCAGATTTTTTTTAAACCTCCATAATAGAGAAGCCAATTTTATTTTGCCTAAACATCCCTATGTATATAGGAACATGTACTGAGATCATTTTCTAACTAATCACATCAAAAAAAGAAAATAAGTAAAAAAGTAAGCTTTAACAAAGAATGTCAGGTGCCATAAAACTGTCCTACAGAACTGATAAATATTACACACATATAAAATTAGGAAATTAGAATACAGAACCCAATTTTATTTTGCCTAAACATCCATAGGCATATAGGAACATGTATTGATATCATTTTCTACCTAATCACACCATAAAAAGAATATAAGTAAAAAAGTAAGCTTTAACAAAGAATGTCACTTACCGTAAAGCTATTCTACAGAACTGATAAACATTATATACATATAAAATTAGGAAATCAAGAAATCAGGAGCTTAGTGCAATGAAACATGCTCTTAGGTATCTGCTTGAGTGTCTGGTATTACCAGCTGACTGAATAACTCTGTCTTAGGTTTAGAGTAGTTACAAGTTTTTCTCTGTAACAATATATCCTGTTTCTGGACTCACAAGGAGCCACGTGGCCCTCTTCAGCATTACAGCCCAGATACACAGCATTCCTCCTTATTCATTCAAGGGGAGGTATTCTCAGGTCCCTTTAATGAAACAAGGGACAGAAAACTTAGGTGAAAAGAACATTGACTTGTTATTCTCAAAGCATGTTTCTTAATTTTGCCTACTCCTGTAATACAAATTAAAACTCTTACCCGTTGTCAATTTTTATCCAAGAATCAGATGTTCTATTTCTCTACCACTTCCTTTAGTTCAAAAGTAAATGAATGTAGAATGCATTTGTATTACCTTGTTCTTACATTGCTCTAAAGAAACACCTGAGACTGGAAAATGTATAAAGAAAAATGTTTTAATTGGCTCACAGTTCTGCAGGCCTTACAGGAAGCATAGCAACTTCTGCTTCTGGGGAGATCTCAGGAAGCTTCCATTCATGGTAGAAGGCAAAGGTGGAGCTAGATGTCTCACACGGTGGAAGCAGGAGCAAAAGAGAGAGTGTGGGCTCAGAAGACAGGAAGATGAGGATATGTTTGGAACTTCCTGGAGACTGGTTTTAAATGGTAGTGACCAAAATGCTGACAGTGATATGGACAGTGAAATACAGGCTGAGGAGATCAAAGATGGAAATAAGGAACTTACTGGAGTCTGGAGAAAAGGTCACTTTTTGTTATGCCTTAGCAAACAACGTGGCTACATTGTGGCCCTGCCCTATGGATCTGAGGAAGTTTGAGCTTGAATGTGGTGATTTAGGGTATCTGGTGGAAGAAATTTCTAGGCAGCAAAGCATTCAGGAATTGACCTGGCTTTTTCTAACAAACTATACTGGGATACAAGAGCAAAGAAGTGACCTAAAGTCAGAACTGATATTTAAAAGAGAAGCAGAACCATGAGGCAATTAAAACTCTTTTCTTTGTAAATTACCCAGTTGCAGCTATTTCTTTATAGCCATTTGAGAATGAACTAACACAGCATTAAAAAAATCCTAGACGGCTTCATCACAAATGTGCATAATTTTCCATTATTATTATGTTTTTCTTCGTTTTTCTATGATTCTGAGTTTTATGAATTACTTTTTATACAAGTTTTCTTCATTCCCCTCCAAACTGTTAGAGCACTTAAATAATTTTCAATTTCTCAATTTGCCAAGCTTTCCCTACGATAACTATCCTGGGTGAAAATAGTTCATGTTATCAATGTGTAATATATATATTTAAGATGTGTATTATTGATACACATAAAGAATTAAATTAGCTGTTTATAATGAGCAGTATGGTCTACCATACTGTGTATATTTTACAATTTCTGTATTTTTTAATTTGGGGATCTGAGCGATTAATGGTTACTAATGATAACTGAAAACATTTTAGATTAAATGATTAAACATTATTATGTTTTGTCACTACATTTTATTTTACATTTCTATGTTTTAAAATAGTTAACCTCATTAGAAATTTACATTTAAAAAACCTACATGAAGTTGAAATGCTTGTTTTTGTCAAAAAATAACTTTTGAACGTTTTCAAAAAATTTAAAGTTTACATCAAATACTGTAAATATTTTAATTCTTCAGATTCCAAATATATAAATGGACTTATTTTTTCCCTGTGAAACATATTGCACCAGTTTGAAAAGTCTCTCCAGTTATTTCACATTAACTTTAAAAACAAATGAATGCCACATGTTGGGGACTTATTAATACTCTATTCAAAAATTTTATTTATTTAATTATTTTTTTTATTTTGAGATGGAGGCATGCACCACCACACCAGGTAAATTTTTGTATTTTTAATAGCGATGGGGTTTCACCATGTTGGCCAGGCTGGTCTCAAACTCCTAACCTCAGGTGATCCACCAGCCTTAGCCTCCCATAATGCTGGGATTATAGGAGTGAGCCACTGCACCCAGCCAAATGAAATTCTTTAAGATAATTGTCTGCTTTCCAAAAATATTTGAAAAATCAGTTCTCTTTAACAAAATTGGATTGCATTTTACTAAAAAGAAATGGAATACGGCAACAAAAAGGCTTTGGTTTGGTATGAAATATATAAACCAATTATAATATGCCATCTACTTTTATGTATGCTTTAAAACATTCATATATAAATTTTTAAATTAAAACATTTATATATATATATATATATATACACTTACATATGTAGTGTGTAGTGTGTGTGTGTCATAATATTGAAATTAAAAGATATTTGGCAATTGTCAAAGGAGATTATTAATCTTATATCAGCTCCTTGATTTCTCGAAGCTCACATTTTTAATTTAAAAAATCCATTTAAACAAACATAAAATCAGATCCACCCCATTCACACCACTCCCCCAAATAACCCAATATGAGCAGATGTCTACTTACATACTTTGGAGAACCGATTAGTATTTTAGAAATAAATGTAATCAGAAGACTTGGAGATAAATTAAATGTATACTTTTTAAAATCTTTACTTCTTCTGACATTAAAAATGTGATTTTTATTTTTGAATACTCAAAGGAGAACATGATGGTTTTGCATATTTAGAATACATCATCCTAATGCAATAGTGGAAAAGACATAAAAAAAAAAAAAAAACATATGGGGCAAGAATCTGCCAACCCAAAGAATAAATAAAATTTAAATGTGACATTTATTTAACAGTAATATGTTCAGGTTTAGGAGAATGATATATACATATTACCACCATGGAAGACATATTTGTTTCAATGTAGGTGTTTTAGCAAAAGGAGTTATCCTTCCCATTCAATTCTCTCAGTTTTCTTTCCCTAGCAAAACTGGCCAGTGGAGATGAGGAAGCCTGGATCGTAAAACATGATACACCATAAATGTTTGCTATGTCTCACGCCTGAACTAAGAAATTGTATTATGACATCGTTTGAGATGCCAAAGAGTTGTAGTCTGTTATTACTTTGAATCTCCTACCTACTGCTGTGACCCTTAACATGGTGTGGGAAAAGGCATGCAGGAGTATGGATAGGGAGAACAACCAACATACGAATCTTATGTTGTTACCATAAGTCAAATAAGACAATTGAGGTTATTTTTCAAAGAGCACAGAAAAAAAATATTTCAGGATAATAACGAAGAATGTTAAAATGCTTCCACAATGATATAAAATACAGGACATCTGTTTTTAAGTAGTTTAAGGTAATACACTAAAATGTTTATTTTACCTTAATTAGTGTCTTCTTCAGGAAGACCCTGGGGCAAGTTAGCAACAAACAGAAACATTTGGGAGCTTTCTATTCCCCACTTTCCCCTTACATGGTGACATTGACTTTTCATTATAGAAAGAATGGACAAATATGTAGATTACTGAGTAAATTGCATCTATGGAAAAATTATTTTTATTAACCACCAAACCAAGTAAGCAAGTTAAATAGGCTTTGGTCCCAATTCTTCTAAATCTGACATTCCATGTTTGAATAAATCTATAGTTAAAAATTCGGAAAGATGGGTTTGATGACCCCTGCACAGGCTTTGTTGAGAAAAAGAGGGAGGCTTTTGTAGGTGTTGCCTTTCTTGTTCTCACTTTTGTTTTCCTGTCTTTACCTTTCATCCTTCCAAGTGTGGCTTATCACCTAGGTAGTACTGGAGTAAATATCTCCTAGAATCTTTTACTCTCTTTCAAGATTAGAAAATATTACATGCAGATATTAACATTTTTGTTTCATTTATCTGTTATAAGATTGCTTTTGACATTTTCACAATGTGTTTAGAGATTCTCTAAAATACAGATTGTAATGTTCATTTGCCCATAATCATTGCAAACTTCTAGTAATCTATAGTAGCAGCAGAGATGTGAGTTAGTAAACAAAGCAATTATAGGTACTACTGTAGTTACTGCTAATTTTTTGAAAGACAGATATACAGAAGTAAGGTATATACCAAATCACATTGTATATGCATGTGGTTGTTTCTTTGCTAAAAGTGATCTGATGAACTGTACAGATCATTAAAGAGGTTCATGAAAATTCAACTAAAATTGAAAACAATTGCAACAACATTTACCAGCATTTAATAAATGGCTACTACTTGCTGGTAACTATGCTATATTCTTTGTATTCATCATCCTGTTTATTCTTTAAGGGTCTATTTTTAAAATGACAAAATTGAGCTTTAGAAGGTTTAAAAACAGACCTAAGATTAAACTACTAATGATTTATGATGCTCGGATTCTACAATTGTACTGTTGAGACAAAACAAAAATTAAGGGAAGCCAAGAACTTAGCAATTAGCAAAATTAAATAATTTAACTGCATATCAGCAAATTTTCTTTCAA